CATTTGCTAGTCCAACATCTAAAAATCGTACATTCCCAAAATAGGAAAGTAGTAGAATTAAAATTATTATATGTCCTATTTCACATATCAGTCATAGATCCCAATATATTGAAATTTCTAAAGGATATACTATAAGAAACCATTAAACGTTTACTTAATCGGGGTTGAACACTTGGAAAGGAAACAATTTGCCGAAGTTGTGCCTGAGGTTAAATTTCTTCCAAAATTGGTAATGATGAACATTTACGCAAAAAATAAAGAATCAAACTTAATTCGATTTCTTCCAATAATTTGAATTGACAACATTTAAAAGGCTTCTAAATAATTTTGCCCAATATTTTCTAACACTCAATTTTTAATTTGCAAGTTCGTTTGAAACTAACCTGTGAAAAAAATAAAGTAAGAACATATTCGTATACTACATTTAAGTTGATATATGCATATTATATCGGCATATCTCATATACACATATCAAACATTGCTTGCATTTTGTAATGTATTTAGTTAAAAGTTCTCCATCATTGCAATTTTCTTTCATAGAATCTTGAATAAATTCTTCATTTTCATTTTCAGATTCTAATTAGTAATAACGATGATGAATCAAATCGTCTGTACTCTTCTTAACGCCAGATTGTCATAAATTCTAAATGAAATAACATATCTCGCAGTTTATCACTATCAATCTAGCTAACGAAGAGATTCTTTTCAAAGCCCCCTTAGTTATTTTCCTATTAATTCAAAACTTCTAGGGTATTGAGCATAAACTAATTACTATCAGATAGCTTCATTTCTGTAAATTTGAAAAGTTATTTGGACGTTCATCTGAATATTTTTCAAAACACATCTTCTCTTTATGACTAATTCTAGGCTGCGGTATTTCAATTTCTATGCAAATCTCATCCGGTATCATCAAATAGGCTAATTTTTATTGATAGATAATACCATATTTGTAGATTTCATATAAATTGAGATGAAATTTATAGAATATAAAGAAATTTTAGAATTCTAGGCAGTTCAAATGCCTAAGTTTTTTTGTTTGTAAATATCTTGATAAAGCTATATTTTTTCTTTATAATGTTATATTTGAATGAAAGGATCATTAATAATCTCAATTAATTAAAAAGATTTATGGATAAATGCAATAGAGGTCCCAATCTTTTTATTCCTTAAACATTTACATTGGGGTTATGTTATATGAATTTAGCAAATATGGTTCATTTCAGTTAGATTGAGGGGGGTTATAAATTTTCTTAATATTTAGTGCACATGCAAAAATAATCCAACCAGCCAGTATTTTAAATCAGGGACTGGGAAATGTTATCATAAACTAGGTAGCTTTTATTTTAACTTAAAATAAATGTTTTGCAAAATTTAAAATATTTTATTTTTATGGCAAAATTAAAATGAATATGCATTTTTTATATTATAAAAATCTATCTTATTTTGTAGATATCATACATATATATTTAATAACACAATAATTATTTCTACGGGGTTTGATTTTGTTTGGTCATTTATTATTTACATTTCCGTACATTCCCATCAAATATTTATATATGTTAGCGGCAATGTGTTTTTTTCTGATAATATATTATTTTTACAACTTAACTTTAAATCATATTTTGAGGGCATTTACTTAAATTTAAAGATATGATATATTCCATCATGTTTGGAATACCTACCCTATGTATTTCAGAAAATTTTATCATGAACTTTTGGACTTAATATAATTTATATTAGTTTTTCCATCGATTTTCTATATAAATTCTAAATGATTCGAAGGTTAACGGCAAATTGTATAAAGATTCATAATATAGGTATTCTAAACATGTCGGAAATTATTTCCTTTCCTATAAAATCAGATTAAATTTTAAAAAACGCGCTCAAAAAATTATTCTAAATTGAAAAAATAACACATTGCCGGAAAGAACACATTGCCCATATACATATAATAAATTTTCTATATATAAACTATAAATATTGCATGCATATGTTACCGGCAATGTTTTTTTTCCTGTAATATGTTATTTTTACATTTTAAATCCTTGTTTTTACCAGAATACTCAAGCAGGTTTAGAATACCCATCTTATGAGTTGCAGATGATTTTATCGTTAACTTTAGAGTCATTTAAAATTTTTATGAAAAATCTATGTAAAAACTAATATAAATTATATTAAGTCAAAACTTCATGGGATAGGTATTCCAAACTTGATAGAATTTATTTCCGGTATAATCAAATTATTAAATTTAACAAGTACGGGCTCAAAAGCTGATAAAGTTGAAAAAATAACTCATTGCCGTGCCGCTATCATATATATATATTTATATAAATTAATTAAATATTTACTTGAGACTATATTTTGAAACAATAATAATGAATAAAACTCTTCCCTACTTAAATTCTATTTGATCCACATTTAAGAACTAATGAAAATAGGGAAATAGTTTGATTTTCGACTGCTGTGGAGTAAACATTTAAAACTAATTTCTTTATAGCGCATATAATTTCACCAAAAAATTAAATTAATATTTAATAAATTTTTAAATTTATAATATTAAAAATTATTCTGTCTTAATACATATTTAGATTTTATACCAATTTTTTTAAAAAAATTATCTTTTTTCTTTCTAAGGCCCCTCAATTTTTGAAATCTCGAGACCCCGTGAGACATTTTTCCACTAGGCTTACTGGCCAGTCCGCCCCTGAATTAAATACTTGGAATATTTATTTTTCAAATTTAAGATATTAAAATGTATAACAATAAATATATTCTATATATTTATAATAGGAAATGCTTGAATAATATTTTTAAAAATATCTTCTTTAAATAAATATATGTTGCTATGTAATCTTCCATAAACTGGGACATCCCAGATTTAACATGTCTATGAACTCGGGTCCACAAAATATATTATTATAAATAATTTAAACATTTATTCTCACTATTAAAACAATTATTAAAATTTAAAATATTTACTTAAAAAAAATATTAAAATTTGAAAAAAATATGTGTAAAAATTAACAATTAATGGTTTTCGTTAATAAAAATATCACTCAACAAAAAAATATTTTTTAAAAAAAATAAAAAAAATTCAACCAATCATATGACAGATAAATAAATAACAGATAACCAGGTAGTTATGGCTCACAAACCATAATCTTACCAAATAAATATAGATATAAAGAAAATATTTGTTTCAGTTTAAAAAGAATAATTTAAAACATTAAGATTTGATTTTAAATTTTATTCAATATTTTATTAATTTTTATATAAAAAATTTTGGATGCCATAAATATAAGTGTTAAATTTTAATCAGCTACAAATATGATTAAAAATATAATTATATATGCATCTCAATTTTAAGATAAGCCAACAGGAAATGATTGAAACACAATTAGATTGATATTAATAGAGATCCTCTGTGATTAAGCTTTTGTCCTATAAAAATTTTAAGGCCTGAGATCCGAATAATACGATGGTAAATTTTAATTTAAAATTTTCTGCCCTCATGATGGAAAACAGCATAATTTTAACCACAAGGAGAAAATTATCATAATTATGAGTTTTCATTATATAGGATTGTAAATCGCAGGGGTGGCTTAATGGGTTATGATGTATGCTTGGAAACAGAAGGACGCAGAGGACGCAGGTATAATCCTGGTAAGGAGCATAAAAACTTTTAGGTTTTTCTTCGATGACTGATGTGTAAAGACATATGGTAAGATGAATTTCGGAGCTTAGAGATGACACCCCGGTCACCAAATGGCCTGGACAGCCGGGTGCTAAGGATACTTGTCCAATAAACATAATGAAGGAAACAAACGAAAATATGAATATTAAAGCTTTGGCGTTCCCTCCAAGCGACGCGCAGGGTGTAGACCTCTATCCTGTGAAAAGTAAAATAAAGGTCAAAGCAAGGAATACAAGGTTAGCAAGTTTGAATATTGGGACACTCAAAGGTAAAAGGAGAGAATTGGCATCAATGTTGAACAAGAGAAAAGTTGACTAGCGTGCATACAAGAGACGAAATGGAAAGGTCAGAAAACTTTGATGATTGGAGATGGGTATAAATTGTACTATAATGGAATTCTTAGTAATAGGAAAGGTGTCAGTATCATCCTCAGTCAAGATCTAACCTCTTCAATAGTAGAAATCAACAGGATCTCTGATAGACTAATGAAAATAAAACTCTGCATTGGTCAATCAATACTACACATCCTTTCAGTATATGCTTCTCAAACGGGTTGCAAGGAAGAAGAGAAAGATGACTTTAGAGCTATCCTTGATGAAGCTGTAATGGAAATCCCTAAGGATGACCTAGTCATAATAGATGGTGACTTAAATGCGCATGTGGGAAAAGCAAGAGATAGCTACAAAAGGCATCATGGTGGTTTTGGATATGGAGAAATAAATGATGAAGGAGAGAATATACAAAAATTTGCGCAAGTCTTCGACCTTGCCTTAACCAACACCTACTATAGGAAAAAAGAGAGTCATCTAATAACATATGAAAGTGGTACAAGGAAAACAGAGATAGATAACATGCTAATCTCTCGTAGAAGATTAAAAGATGTAATAAACTGCAAAGTCATCCCAGGAGAAGATATAACCGCTCAATACAAGCTACTAGTCATGGATTTGCACATCAAATCCACTCAAAACAAGATAAAACTGGAACCATGTATCAAATGGGGTAAATTAAAAATAATGACAGATGCCTTTGCAATCAATGCAAACATTGAAACAATAGATTCCTCCCAAGTCAGTAAAAAAATGTGGACAGACCATTCATCCAGATTTATAGACACTGCCAAATTAACACTAGGCTTGGCAAGGGGAGATAACAAATCATACAAAGAACTATGGTGGTGGAATGAAGAGGTATAAACCACTATACAGGAGAAAAAAACCCTTTATAAAATATGGTAGAAATCCAAAAACCCAGATGACAAGACAAGATACAAATCCAAGCAAAGGCGGTGGCTAGGGCCAAATCTATGGCATATGATGACATGTATGAAGAACTACATACAAAAGAAGGGCAATGTAAAATATACAGATTAGTCAAACAGCGAGAAAGGAATTCTAGGAATATAAACGGAGCTCCAAAAGTAATCAAAAATAAAGATGGGAAATTGATAATAAAGGAAAAAGAAATAATGAATAGATGGGAAATATTTTCAAGAGCTTCTCAACTTAATCCCCACATACTATATTTAGATGAACACTCCCCATGTCAAAACCTTATACCATCAATAACAGAACAAGAGTTAATCATATGCCTCAAGCATATGAAAAATAACAAAGATAGGAGTCCAGATGATATTCCAATAGAAAGCCTTAAAGCACTAGGAGATGATGGAATACATCTCCTCACGAATCTGTACAATAAAATACTTGGAAATGAAGAGGTTCCCCAAAAATGGAGGCAGAGCTATCTAGTTCCTATCTTCAAAAATAAAGGGGATCCACAGAATTATCAAAATTAGAGGGGCATAAAACTAATGTCGCACTCTCTAAAACTATACGAAAAAATAATAGAAAAAAAATTAAGAGACATAATCGAAATAGGAGAGACTCAGTTTAGCTTTATTCCTGGAAGATCAACAACTGATGCTATCTACGCAATTTGGAAAGTAAGTGAAAAATACAGGGAAAAGAACAAAAAGCTACACATGGTCTTTCTCGATCTAGAAAATGCCTTTGATAGAATTACAAGAAAACTTATCTGGTGGGCGCTATGCCACAAAAGGGTTCCCGAAAAATATATAAGAATAATACAGGATATGTATATGGGCCATACAACAATGGTCCGTAGCACAACAGGTACTTCAGCAGACTTCACAGTAGCCAAAGGAGTTCATCAAGGGTCGGCTCTCAGCCAACTTATCTTCATTACAGTAATAGATGTATTAGCACAGTCTATACCTCAAACAGTCCCGTGGAATATGGTATTTGCAGATGATATTTTGATACTTGCCGAATCCAAGGATGAAATGAAAGAAAGATTAGTGAGTTGGATAAATATCCTAGAAAAGCACGGACTAAAGGTAAATAGAGAAAAGAAGGAGTATATGGTGATAGGAGGAGATGAAACAGAGAGTATTGATATAAATGAATGGCAGATATCGGCAATTGAAAGCTGCAAATATTTGGGCTCCACTATACAAACATACAGCACAATAGAAAAAGAAATAAAGAGTAAAATTAATCAAGGGTGGTTAAAGTGGAGATCTTTATCTGGAGTGCTATTTGAAAATAGAATCCCACACAAATGAAAGGGGAAAATTTACAGTTCCATAGTACAACCAACTATTTTATATAGTTCGGAAACATGGCTAACCAAGGAATCAGACGAGAGAAGTCTACAAACTATGGAGATGAGAATGCTGAGGATGATTGCTGGGGTAACAAAAAAGGATAAAGTGCGCAGTACAAGAATACTACTAAATTTAAAGGTAGTGCTCATTAAAATAAGTTAATGATAAACAGACTTAGGTGGTATGGGCACACAATGAGAAGGTCTATGAACTACATAGGAAATAAGGTTGAGAGTTTGGAAGTTATGGGCAAACGTAAAAGAGGAAGACCAAAACTTTAATGAGGCCATAAAGTTAAAGCCAATATAAAGTAGTATAAATTAGATAAAGGATATAGTTGAATAACATAAAGTGGAGAGAAATATTGAAAGAGCTTACCACCAGAAAAGGTGAAAGCTAAATAGAAAAAAAAAATTATATAGGATTGTAAAATAAATAAATTCCCTATATATAGGATTGTAAAATAAATAAATTCCTTAAAAAAATTTTATAAAATCATTTTTATAATCATTCAAATATAATTAAAGATATTAAATCTAGTGATCTGCATCTGGCCTAATTTTTCAAGTCCGGCCCGAAATTTTTTAAAAAATATTTGCCGTCCTGGCCCAAACCCTAAGAAATTTATTTAAATATAGAAATTAATTCTTTTAAAATATTATAATTACTCAAAATAAAATATATATGTCATATGGTGTCTAGTTTCTATAAATAAAATCACGGGTCAATCAAAAGTTATCTTTTATAACTTTAAAAAAAAAATACCTCAAAAAATAACTTTAAAAAATTTCTAAAAAATACATATTTAAATTTCCTTATTATAAAATATAAACATAAATAAAATAACATAAAATAAATAAAAACAAAAAATATATAGCGAATAAATATTTTACAACTTTCTTTCTTTCTTTCTTTCTTTCTTTCTTTCTTTCTTTCTTTCTTTCTTTCTTTCTTTCTTTCTTTCTTTCTTTCTTTCTTTCTTTCTTTCTTTCTTTCTTTCTTTCTTTCTTTCTTTCTTTCTTTCTTTCTTTCTTTCTTTCTTTCTTTATTTCTTTCTTTCTTTCATTCTATGTCGCCAATATATTTGAAGCGATGAGAAAATAAATATTTTATAATTTTAATGACCTCCAAATATTTGAATGAAAACATCTCTTAAAAATCACTATTGTATTGATTCTAGAATAGCAAAATATCACTACGGTATTGAAGCACAATGTGTATTGATTTTACAATCCTACATCGGGTCTATTTATTAATAAAATTTCACGGAGCCTTTGTTTTGGCCTGTAGATAGATGTCGTGTAGAGTATGTTAAGTATATTAAAATCAGTATTACCAGTGTTATTATAATGATGTATTATAAAGAACATTTATAATTTTTAAAAATAAGAGAACTTAAAATACGTGTTAAAATGATAAAATTTACAGATTAAAATGATTACACTTCAATTTTAGAATGATACTTTACAAAATATATTTTATAAATTATAATCATCATTTTTGACTTGGATTCACCCATTGTTTCAAAAAGTATTTCTAGGAGTTGTTATTTGTAGCAGCCACCCATATTTTTTTAATGGTTGAAGAATTGGAGGAGATAACTCTAAGATGTAGCTTGAGAATAAATTTTACCCCCTGAGCATAAAGATGTATTCTTATATATAATTCTTACCTATGTTCATCTTGTAGATGTTCACGGTTTGAGATTTTTATCAGGGCATTGGCAGTCCACAAAAAATAAGCAACAGTATTTATTATTTTGAAAAAAATTGATTTAAATCAGTAGCTGATTTCTATCATTAAGTATTAACCAAAAAAGATTACACTAAAACTTGTTTAATTTGGCTTGATAATTAGGACAAATCACTAATTTGAGCAAAATTTTGAGTCCAAACAAATTCCACCTATTATTAATCTTAATAAATTAGACAACTGTCTAAGTTGGGCAAAGATCTTAATTCCAATTTTACTAAATCAGACATGTTTTACTGCATTTTTAAATTATGAAATGTATTAAAATGATATTAAATTAAAGCTCAATATATCACTCTGGATATTGGATGTTATGACAAAATTAAATAACCAAATTACAAATAAAAAATTTTAATTTAATTGTTAAAAATCGTGTCCCAGTATTTTTAACAAATTAAAAAATTTTTTAGTCTATTAAATTTCCTTTATTCAGGAGGTTTTTTTATCCGACCAATAAAGATCTTAGCCAAAATAATATTATGTAAGTCTAGTGCTCATGGCATAAAGGTTTGGACATCTATTTGCCAAATTTCGAGGCTAACATAAAATTATTTTGCTTGAAATCTTAACTGGGCAGTTTTTAAAACGACCCAAATCTAGCTTTACACTATTTGCAACAGTATGCATATTTCCTGGTTGATAATAAGAATATTAATATTTTATTGGATATATTTTTTTCACAATTATTTAAATAAATTTTAAAATACAATTAATGATATATATTTTTTAATTATATTAATTATGAAATAAGAAAAAATTATTTTATAAAATAATTATATCAAGTATATAAAAAAAATATATAAAATATTTAATAAAATAAATTACAAAATGTAGAAATTTTATATAGATTATATTAAAAATTTATTGTAAATAACTATATTTGATGAACTAGGAGGGAAATGGGAGTGTTTCGAAGAAACATTTGTATTCCCCTTTAAGATTTCAAATTGGATTTTTTGTTTAAGAGATAGGGACTCGTTTTTGACCCCTGTCCTTAATGAAATTCTTCTACCCAATTGATTTAAGAACTTTAGGGATTGGGGACCGGGGTTTCCAATGACGCTAAAAATTAGGGAAATAAATATAAAAGAATTAGAGAGGAATCTTTATTTATTAAACTTATTGGTTTCTTGTAATTCCAAAAGGTCGGTATTTCCGTTAGCCGGAAAAGAGGTAACACAAGAGACGTCCCAGACAAGTCTTTTGCCCCGTGCCAAGACGTTAAAGACATGCCGTCGGGACGCTTACCGTCCGAATTTAGGAGACCTAATGGCTCCAAACTATTGAAGAAACCGATCGAAATTAAGGCTTTGCCGATTAATCTATTAAGGTTGTTGTGCCTCAGGAAACGGCCACTGACTTTGAGACACGAAAAACAATGTCTAGAGAAAGGATCAACCTGTTTGTGACAGGCAGCACAGGTGTCCACAGAAGGGATAAGGCAATCAAGCCTATGGCCAATGGCAGTTTGAAACTCATCGTCTGTGAATAACGTTTCCTTTTTACCACTCGGAATCGCGTCTAGCCATTCATGGCCGTTAGAGTTTTTTTTTGCGATTCTGAGCAGTTGAAGGTTAGTTAGATCGGGACACATACAAAGTTTTTCAAACGCGCATTGAAGCATAGGGACCAGGAAGCTCTTTAGATGACTGGAAACTGTCCACCCCGGTATGCGGGCATAGAGGCGAGGGACCAATTGAAATCGGAAAAATTTAAGCAAAAGGGATTCGATAAAATGTTTAAATTTTAATTCGAAGGCCTTAAGGAGGGTATTGTACTGGAAAGCGGGGGAAGATTTAAATAAATGTAAGAATTTCGGTAGAAAAAGACATTTTTTGGTGAGAAAGAAGAATTGATGCTTGGGGAGATGAGGAAGATTCTTGAGTGAATTGGAAAGGGACTGGATCAAATTGTCAAAAGTTTTTTGACAAAAGGAAGTTGAAAAACCGATAGGGGAACCTAAAAGATAGAGTTCCTCTTGCGGAATGATTGTAAAATCTAAGGGATGGATAAAATCCTTATTGTTGAGAGAGGAAATTTCACACTTTTTCCTATTTAAGGAAAGACCAATTTTAGAAGCTTCCATTTCAACATACTCTATGGCCGATATAACATTGAAAGAACCGCCAAAAGAGCCATCGTCGAGATACCATAAATTAAGGTCTAATTTGAAATCAGACTTTAAATTTTTGATCAAATCCTGAATCACTATAGTAAAGAGCAAGGGACCTAGTGGATCATATTGCTGAATTCACTTTCCAGATGGTATGGGAAATTCCCCGAATTTGAGTAACGAAGGTACCCATAACAGGAATTAAGGAAATTCCAGTATTTTGGGAAATGAGGTAAAAGATGGTAAAAATGCCTTCCTTTGAATGGTGTTGAAGGTATTTCTAAAGTCTAACTTGCAGAAAACCTTATAGACCTCAGTATTTATAAAAATACGCGCAACATGTGAGGCCACTTCACACCCACCTCTCAGTCCAAATCCTAACTGTGAGGGAAATAAGAGGGAACTGGCCTTAGGCCGGATCCTATTTACAATAGTCTTGGCGACTAAATGGCGAAAGAACGACCCTATGGCTATGGGTCTAATGCCACCATCCGGTTTGGTTAAAGAAAAGGACGAATACAAAGAGGAAAATCGCATAAGAGGATATTATTGCAAACTTCAGTTAATGATTTCAGCAAAGGGTCAATAAAATCACTATCAGAGCATTGAATTAAATCCACAAAAAACCAGGTCTGAAACCGTCCAACTCACCTGTCGTCCCTTTTTTAAAGGACTTTAAGCACTTAAGTACTTCATCACAGGTAAAAGGAATAGGGGAAGAGGCATGCGGGTGAATGTTAAAAGGGGAAGCTAGTGGATGTTTCTAAAGGAGTTGTTGAAAGATAGTAATGATGATAGGTGAAATAGTATCATTGGAATTTAATATTCGGGCAGCACCGCTAATATCTCCAAGATCTAATTTTTCAGAGATCAATTTACAACGGAAAGAGTTGGGATTTAAAGAGTTAGATGGAGAAAATTCATCGATAATCGTATTTCCAAAATTGGACACTTTCTCTTTGATTGAGGCAGATAAGTTATTTATTCTATTCTTGGGCTTAACTAAAACTCGAAACCAGAAACTAATTAATTCCAACCGCAAGGGAATTGAGGAGAAATCTGAGTTTAAATTATTCATAAGAGACATAAGGAACCTTGAGATAGACTCTCAAGCGGCTATAGGGATCCTAGAAAGAACTGGGAGCTAACACGAATTAAGGAATAAATCAACAGAGCTTGAAGAACAACAAGCCGGACTGGGGTCATACGAGTGAGGAGCGTTAATAAAAGGATCTGGGCCGGAGGAGAGGGGAAATTTTCCAGAATTGGGGCAAGCGGGTGAACAATGTTTCCTAAACACACCATTTAAATTAAGCGAAATTATTTTTAAGCATACTTGACAACAAGAGTTTACCATGGGATGGCTTTGAAAGGGGGAAAACAAAAAAATAATTAACGGATATAACTTTGAAAAAAGTAACCAAAAAGATATTAACAAGGGAAATGGGGAATCAAAATTGAAAAAAAAAGAAAGATACATGAGCTATCCTATCAGAAGTTAATCGAAATTAGAGGGGTTGGTAAATTTAAAAAAAAAAAATTTATAAAATAAGGCTAGATACATAAAGTATAAAAAGTATTATTATTAACAAAAAAAAGGAAGGTATAAACAAGAAAAATGGGGGAAAGAAAAAATCAAAAATTGAAAAAAAAGAAAGATTCAAGAAATAATAAAAGGAACCTATATTTATTAG